TCTAGGTTGGAGCCCATCGCTAGTAGGTTGGAGACCATTGCTAGTAGTGGCCCACGGCCCACAGGCTGTGCCCGGTCAGTCCAGGCTGATGAGGCGAATGCCCTCATCGCCAGGCTCTGACGCCTGTAGGGAAGGAGTGTGTCGTGCATTGTCCATCCACCAAAGCATTGTGTCAAAAGATCATGCTGAAACGAAGGCAGGAAAGGTCAAAGGTCCTGAAATTTAAAAGCGATCCGAATTTTAGTAACAATTACGACTGGAACACCCGGAGAAACATCTCAGTGTTGGCTGTGCAATCAGTGATCCAAATAGGTTGAAAAAGAAAATGAAATAACACCCAAGAACAAGGTGGTAACAAGTGCCTCGCTAGTAGTAACAGGTGCCTTACTAGTAGTAACAAGAAGCTAGTAGAAACAAGTGCCTTACTACTAGTAACAGTAAGAATTGTAATTACTAGCAAAGCAAATTATTGTTTCTACTAGTAACAAGTGCCACGCTAGTAGTAACAAGTGCCTTACTAGTAGTAACAAAAAGCTATTAGAATTAAAATAGAATTAAGTTAATAGCTTCTTGTTACTACTAGTAGTGAGGGCGTTTTGGAGCCGAATGGGACCATTTCAGGACACAATTTCGACAAGGCGCATGCGATGCTGAACGAGTGTGTGTTTAACCCATGCGCAGGATGCCTGCTCGACCAGAAATGCTGGCTTGTCCACCCCGGCACCTTCATCAGCCTGGGACGAGTTCGACATTAGTCGATCAGAAATTGAAATCATTAGAGTTAGATTTGAATCAATTTGAATTAGCTATATCTAATTAGGATTTAATCGATAGGTTGATTCTTATCGTTCGTATCCCTGCTTCATTCGGCAGTAGGCTGTGAGAAAGGGTTCTTGCCAGCTGTAGCCGGCAGCAAAAGAAGCTACTACATCCAAGAACGCAAGGACTCAGAAGAAATCCAGAATTCAGATGAAAAAAATGCGAGTCTCGAAGAATCTTGTTAGTTTTACACCTGTTCGTTGGGAGTTCGTTCGAATTCTTCTTTCTAGCTATTCTGGCGACCCAAAACAAATGAAGAGCTCTTTCTCCGATCCAAGAAGTTAGCGGTAGCAACTATGGATAGTCGACCTGACACGCCATCGCCGGCTGCCTGGTGGCTCCGCTTCTTGGCTTTGCTGGTGTTCCAATTGACGACTGGCGCAATGACGGCGGGGTAAGAGCCACCACGCCCACCACGCACATTAGCAGCGTAAGACGATGGAGACATTGCTGAAACTGTAGCAAACACCTTCCAACTGCACATCTGCTAAAGTGTTCAAACACCTTCAAGTGCCTTGACACTGAAAGTAGACCAACCTGGGGATGCCTTGTCTTCTCTTCCCAACATTGCCAATCATCCCCATTAAACACAGAACAAAGAACCTAATCCTTGTTGCACTGAGGGTGAAGATGGAAGAGATTGAAGCTTGTCTGAAGGTGATGTCGTTCAAGCTCTGGGATTGAAGCTTGTTGAACCATTGTATTTACTCTCAACATCAGAGTTCGGCACTTCTGCCCTCGACAGCGTTCTGCAATTCCTGTACAGATCTCCAGTGCCGGCCTGTGCGCTTTCCAGGATCCTCCCAGCATGTCATTTCTCCGTGCACACACACTGGACCAAAAAGGAAGCCAGTCGTTCCAAAATTGCTCCTAGTAAGAATACTCCTAGTAGCGATGCCAGGAGCCCCTAGTAGCGCCCTTGCTCCTAGTAGCTGCTTGCTCCTAAAGCCCATATCTCTTCACATGGGAGGCTTATTTTGTCAAGGGCAAGGGGTTTCCCATGATCTCCG